TTCGGGTAGAGAAGACAAGTTGAAAGATCAAGTTTAAGGTCACACAGCAACATATTTTAACAATTATGGGATTTGGGGAAATAGACCAGAGTGTAAACAGCTATTGGGAATAAAAGTTATTTCAGAATCAGGAAGTAAATTCCGGGGGGCAGCAGCTTATATAACTAACAAAATAAACTGTTGGCACACTTCAGGATGGCTGGTCATGCCCTGGTCATTTTAGTGACACTCAAATCCTGTTAACAGTAACATCTTTGAGTTGTTGTGGATGTGTGTGTACACGAGTGTGTGCATGAATTATATCTGTGTATGAAGGAATTGGTACACACACACACACACGTACACACACACACACACACACACACACACACACACACTATGTGGATGATGAGCAACAAATAGGAATGAAAGAAGAGGGGCGCCTGGGTGGCTCAGTGGGTTAAGCGTCCAACTTTGACTCAGGTCATGATCTTGCAGTTCATGGGTTTGAGCCCTGCATCAGGCTCTGTGCTGACAGCTCAGAGCCTGGAGCCTGCCTTGGATTCTGTCCCACCCCATAACCGTCAAGAATAAATACGCATTAAAAAAGAAAGACAGAAAGAAGAAATAAATAAAACTGATTTATTTGGAGCAGGGAGCAGGTTTTAAAATACTATCTTCTGTATCCATGATGTAGCAGATGTAGTAGGCACAAAATATTCACATTTCATTGTATTACTGAATAGATGAATGGACAGGTGGAAATGAATGAATACAATGAGAATGTCAATTAAAAGAGCAACCCACCAGGAGAATCCCTGGGACTTAAATAAGACGAACACTGTCAGGATGGTAACAATGGGAGCTAAAAATAAAGCTGCATTTCAGCTGAGCCTTATTACCTTCCAGCCTTACATAAATCACTAGAGAACATTGACATAGTTGGGTTACTTCTGTCTCCTAACACAGAGGCACCAACGTGGCACCCTTCCTGTGGTGCAACTCAGACGGGCAATTAGGAAAATTGTGGAGACTAATAATTCGCTAAACAGAATGTACAGAATTCAACAGATTTAATGAGAATGAAAAAATACTGGGGGTGGATACCTGCCTCACATCATAATGACATGCAGAGAAGCTTAGTTTTATAAGAATTTGAGCATCAGGAGTAAAATTGAAGAATTTTGTTTGCATCACTTGGAGATTAAATTACATGAATACTTAGGCTCTGAATGTGTTTCCCGATGACACTTAATGGCCACATGAACTCTGTCAAGTTAATCTTTCTGAACCTGTTTCCTCTCCTGTTAAAATGCAGATAACAATGTCTCCCCCTCTGAATTAGGGTGAAGGTAAAATGGAATAAGGTGTGTGAAATGTACTAAAAGTGTGGAGTCTCAAAGCAAATTTCTTCTTCCCTAAATTCCTTTTTTACAAAAACGTTTATTTATTTATTTTGAGAGAGAGGGAGAGTGAGCAAGAATGGGGGAGGGGCAGGGGGAGGTGTGGAGAGAGAGAATCCCAAGAAGACTCCACGCTATCAGCGCTGAGCCAGACTCGGGGCTCCACCTCACCAACCGAGAGCAAGAGTCAGATGCTCAACCCACTGAGTCATCCAGGAGCCCCAAATTCCTCCTTTGTTTTTTAAAATTTTTTAAAGTTTTTTTTTTTTTTTTTTTTTTTTTTTTTTT